ATAATTCGTTCTTATTGCGAAATAGGAGCACTATTTATCAATCTGTAATAAAAGACGTGAGGAAATTCTGTCTTTTTTAAAGACAAACATTTTTGCGGCGAAATACCCAAAAAGAAGTTTGTAAAAAAATAAACAAAACAAGTCACAATGACGTCTAACCAAAATAAGTGTAAAATTTGACTAGTTAAAGTGTAGTTCTATAATTTTGTAGTATATTTAAATTGGCGATTACTGATGCTCCCTCGTGTCTCAACACCCTGTATGGCACGCTTCGTCAAGAATGCACAGTCGACTTGGCGGACTATCGTCCTTCCGCAAATATTCTTCATTAGCACGTTACCGTGACCAATCAGAACGACAGAAAACGACGATAGTCCGCCGTCAACAGTGCATGTCTGTTGGAATACATTCTGAAATCGTCAACCCTCACGTAGGCAGAAACTACACGTTTGGGGCTCTGATAAAGCAGTGCCCCCATTTTGGTTCCCTTTCACCAGGGCGGCGCCCCGAAGACCTCCCTCACTTTTACTACGCTTTTTACGGCACAGGTCTTTTTTAGGGGGGGCTGCAGACCATCAACATTATACCCCTGAACCGAATTAGCATGCAACCACCCCCAAATGCCAATGATTTTGGCCATAATAATGGAGAAATCGGGCAAACAAACAATAACAATGAAAACATCCCTTACTGTCGTAATAGTAGCAGACGCGCTTCCGGCTATGCGGTTGAGTGGTCATTTTGAAGAAAATGAACAATCAAAGGGCGTTAGACACCCTTTCACCACTTAACAGACCGAAAAAGCCGAAAAACACTATTTTACAACCAACACACGCTTAAAACAAATGCAAATGGCGGCGATGAAACACTAGCGGCAATGTCAGAAACTTAATGACAGAACGAGACAGTGTTTCCAATCCAAACAAAAGACCCTAAACGTTTCTGAAAATCCATGAACCTGATCTTTTAAATGAACATTTGCATCTAAAGAATTAATTTGATTAGCTTTATAAAACAAAAACTTTCTCTAAAGGCCTTTCCTGATTGGGTTTCAATTAACGCGAATCTCACTCAGGGGAGCGAAAAAGAGACAACAAATAGCAGTGTTCTGATGTGAAACAGGGATGTAACATAAGACCTGTAGTTTTAGACTAAACATTCTATTGAATAATGGAGAAATTTTATAAAAGCCAAATTAAAGAGAAACCTGTGGGCGTAATAAACGCGATAATGAGCAACAACATAACAAACAGCTAATTAAACACTCAATTGTTTTCTGTGATCCTAACCCTCAAAAACAACGCGCCAATGTTTGAGAAAGCCTCAACAGTTTCCAATGTATCAACAACAAAGTATAAGGTGAGCATAGGCGCAGCTCCCCAGGCCCCATTCAGTCCCACTGTCCATTGCAGGTCATTCTTCAAGCCCAGGACCTCGTCAGAAGCCGCTTCACCTGACGACGGGTAGGTAAACGCTCTTTAAGCCATGCTAAGGCTACTCGCAGCTAGACTGCTAAATTCGGTGCCAAGGCCTAAACCGGCCACGCCGCACTGTTGTTTTATCCCTGCAAGTAACGCTGTTTTTCGCAAATACTCGTACAGTTCACCCAAAGGGGAAAAGAGGCCCAGGGGTTCCAGCAGCGAAGGCGCCGCCGTCGAGTAAGTGCCCCGGTTGACTTGTGGCTTACCTGCCCTCAACTCGAATCCTTATTTAGATCTCCTAGTCCCCGAAATCGCAAGGCTAAGTCGAAGAAAGTGAAGATTGAAGCTGAACAGGTTAAACCCAAAAAAACACAACCAGAGCAGGAAACGGTCAAGCAAACGGCGCCTGAAGAGAAAGCGAGCAGCAAAATCATCTTTGGTGAGTTTGCCAAACTGGCCACTCACCAGCTAAGAGCCCCGTTTTCAGGAAAACCGCCCTCCAGTCAAGCGGAGCAAGTTTGCTACAACCCCAGAGCCGCCGGCTACCACCCCATCGAGGATGCAACCTGGAAAAGGGGCGAAAGGTACTGAAAACCCGCTTCCCAAGCCAAAAAGTTCGCCCTAACTTTATCCCCAACGCAGGGTCCCCTACAGTGCCTTGGCCAGCACTTTGGAGATCATCGAAGAAGTCTCGGCCAGACTAAAGATGATCGAAATACTGAGCAACTTCTTCCGTTCCGTCCTCGTTCTCACTCCGGAAGACCTGTTGCCCAGCGTCTATTTGTGCCTCAACAAAATAGCGCCCGCCTATGAAGGCATCGAGCTTGGCGTAGCGGAAACTAGCCTAATGAAAGCGATCGCCCAGTCCACTGGGCGCACAGTGAGCCAGATAAAGAGCGACGCCCAAGACAGCGGAGACCTGGGCGTCGTTGCCGAACAGTCCAAGTCCAATCAACGGATGATTTTCAAGCCCGCCAGATTAACTGTGAAAGGAGTATTTGATAAGCTGAAGGAAATTGCGCAGATGACTGGCCATGCTGTGAGTCTAATTGGAACACGCTTAATGAGGGACGGATAATTAGAATTAGGAATTTGCTGCAGTCCCAAACCAAGAAGGTGGAGAAGATCCAGACTATGTTTGTGGCCTGCCAAGGCCCGGAGGCCCGCTTTCTCATTCGCTCCCTGCATGGAAAGCTGCGGATCGGCCTGGCCGAGCAATCAGTGCTTCAGGCTCTAGCTCTGGCCTGCGCCGTCACTCCACCCGGCCAGGAGTATCCTCCGAAGGAGATCAACGCCTCCAAAGGCCGCTCGGCGGAAAGCTTCAAGGCCCACGTCGACCAGTTGGCGTTGATTTTGAAGACCGCGTACTGGTAAGTCGAGGCAGCGCCCCAAGAAGCGGAGTTTCACGGAGACTTGATTTTAACAGCGAATGCCCCAACTACGGCAAAATCATCCCGGTGCTCCTGAAGGAGGGCATTGAGAAGCTGCCCGATAATTGCAAGCTGACCCCCGGCATTCCCTTGAAGCCCATGCTGGCGCACCCCACTAAAGGTATTAGTGTTTAAGGCTTGCACTTTATTCAATTGAGGAAATGGCTCTTTCTATAGGCGTGCAGGAGGTGTTGCAGCGATTTGAGGGCATGACGTTCACCTGCGAGTGGAAGTACGACGGGGAAAGAGCGCAGGTAGCTAATAACATCCTCAATCATTCCACTGTGCTGAGCGTTGAAGCGTTTCAGATCCACATCCACAAAAAGGACGTGTCGATATTCAGCAGGAACCAGGAAAACAACACGTCCAAATACCCGGACATAATAGCGCGCTTGGATAAGTGCAAAAGCGACGGCGTGGAGTCCTGCATTTTGGATTGCGAAGCGGTGGCGTGGGACAGGGAGAAGCAGCAGATCCTGCCCTTCCAAATCCTGAGCACCAGAAAGCGAAAGGTCCGTTCCTCCAGCCAACTGGGGCGAAAATACACAGTTTCCATTGCAGGACGCCAATGAGGCCGACATCAAAGTGCAGGTGTGCGTCTTCATGTTCGACCTGCTGTACCTGAACGGTGAGCCCTTGGTGAAGCGGCCTTTTAAGGAACGGCGCGAGTTGCTGAAGCAAAACTTCCGCGAGCACGCGGGCGAGTGGCTGTTCGCCACCTGTTTGGACACGACCAAAATGGAGGAAGTCCAGGAGTTTTTGGATGAGAGCGTCAAAGGTTGGCCAGTCCCTGTTCCCGGAGTTTTAGGTACTGAATGTTTGGCCGGTCTCTAGGGAATTGCGAGGGTCTAATGGTGAAGACCCTGGAGCAGGATGCCACGTACGAAATCGCCAAACGATCGCGCAATTGGCTGAAGCTGAAAAAGGACTACTTGGAGGGCGTAGGCGATACATTGGACGTGGTGGTGATTGGGGGGTACTTGGGCAAGGGCAAGCGAACGGGCACTTATGGCGGATTCCTGCTGGCCTGCTACGACAAAGATTGCGAAGAGTACCAAAGCATTTGCAAGGTTCGGAGTACCATTCTTCTCTGTATACTTAACGAGTTGGGAAATTGCAGATTGGGACAGGCTTTAGCGACGAGGACCTGCAAACCCACACACAGTTCCTCAAAGAGCAGGTCGTGCCCAATCCCAAGAGCTACTACCGCTACGACTCCTCCCTTGAGCCAGACCATTGGTTTGAGCCGGTTCAAGTTTGGGAAATCAAATGTGCCGATTTATCCCTGTCCCCCGTCCACCGGGCCGCCTTAGGAATCGTACGTGGTGAACCTCTACGGGGGGGCTGATGTAATGGGTGGTGATTCCAGGTGGATCCAGAAAAGGGCATTTCGCTGCGCTTCCCCAGATTCATCCGAATCCGGGAGGACAAGAACGTGGAGGACGCCACCTCCGCCCAACAGGTCGCCTACATGTACTCCAATCAGGAGCAGGTCAAGAACCAGCAGGCCGACGGCGGCAAGTTCGCAGAAGAAGACTTTTACTAAGATTATCAGGTGCCGATTTTTATAAATTATCATAATCTTCAGATCTACCACTGAAAGAGTTTGTTAAAGTTTTTATTTCAACAACATCACACTTTAGAAAAGTCTACATGGCAAAGTTGCGTTTTATTAATTGTATATACTTTCCTGACTGTGTTTCAATTCCAAATCAAATCTATTCCTGGGTTT